GAACCTGAGGGTTCTTTGAGATGAAACAGCCAGAGGGCTGCTGAGTGTGACGTGCGCACACTCACTTGCATGTATGCGTTCACATTCCCAGAAACGGCCCAGGCTCCAGGACAGAGTAAACACAACCCATAGCTGCCTACCGCCCAGAGAAGGCATCTGGCTCCACTCCCCAGGGCCCTAGCTCCCTGTTCTGATGGCCATATGGCCACCGAGGGTGGGAAGCATCCCCCTGCCCCCTAGGGAGGACCGTTTCCCCGCTCCACAGATGCCAGGTGTTTACATCTAAGGCCAGATGGCCCCGGCCTCCTGGGGAGGTCTGCGTGGGGCACAAGCTCTCCCCAGGCTTCTGCTGCCCCCTGGGTCTCCTCCACCAGACTCTCAGTGGGAGCTTCTCAACTGTGTCCCTCTGAGCGTCAGATCTCCACCTGTGGGAGCCGGTGGTGAGCCTGGTCATACAGCTAAAATGAGTTTCCTGTGAGGAAGACCCGACTTGTTGCTTCATGCAGAGCCAAGGACCTCATAGAGGAGTCTGTCTAGCTGAGGGCCACAAGGAGAGTTCCTGTGGCTACCCACAAGCCACTGGGGAGGCTTTGTTCTCTCTGGGGGATAGACACCACCTGGAGAAGGAACAGAGTAAATGGAAAATGTCAAGTGTTCCCCTACTTCTGCTAACCGCCCAGAGCCCTGGTCTAAGTATATCCGTGGAACTCTTGGGATATACTTACATTGCAGTTGTTCCTTTGGAATTTAAATGGATCAACATCCTGCATTTTCATTTGCTAAATCCCTACTGGGGAAGGCAGCTGCCTTCAGATGAGTCTGCAAACGAGGGAGGGGGTCAGGGCCCAGAAGGATGCTTGTGACTCCCTCCTCTGGTTAGCTAAATTTACAGGAAGCTTCATCCACACTTGGGAGAAACATGTTGGGTTCCTGTGAGGCCAAGGTCAGACAGAGAGAATGGTGCATCAGACCATTCCCACTGTTTGCACAGTGTGACCCTAGAGAGCTATCCATGTGGTCTGGGGCAAGATTCTTAGCATGATGGCTCTTCCTGACAGCTGGGTCCTGGCTTCAGCCCTAGGTCAGATAAGACATCGCTAGCTTACAGGTTGCCTTCACTCCAGCCAGCTTCAAGTTTCTACAGTGGTGAGGATGAGACTATGTTGTATGATGTTTTCTAGGGAGATGGAAATAAATACAGGGCAAACCAAAGAGCCAGTTTGACTCACTTCTAACATGGCAAACCAATGGCTTTATTGGTGCTTGGGTGACTCAAAGGCAGACTGTCACTGAGAAGCCCAGCATGGGCAATCACCTTCTAAGCTGTGTTCCTGGAGCCCCCTGTTCAACTTACAGGCAGTTCCACCAAACAGTCTCCTCTCCCAAGCAACTGTTATTGCTTACAGAACCTCTGTGTGTGTGTGTGTGTGCATGCGCGTGTGTGCATGTATAAACCCTGTAAGCTTCAGGGGTATCTCAGGACTCCTCATGCCCTCTGCTTTCTTGGGTATAGACACCTCGTGCCCAGATGAGACTCAGGAAGGAGCAGCTATGTGATGGGACTGTCTCTGTATCCTGGCAAGGATGAATCGAGATGGCATGTGGAAACAAAAATGATTATTGTTGGCCAGGGGGGACTAACCAGAACCACACCCTCTGTGGCAGTGTCCAGCCAGCACAAATGCCCCCCGTTTCTGACCCTTCTCTGGGTGCAATAAGGACAAATTGAGCCACTCTGATATCTCTTTGCCCCTTCTATATTTTTATCTACTTCCATCCGAGAGATTTTGTAAAGTCAGACTGATTTCTGATACATTCTGCTGTGAATCAAATTATTCACCAGCTTCCTCTAGGACCCTGTGGATTGCTACCAGGCACTTCTGTCTCCTAGGTGATATTCCTCTGTCAGTCTTTTGAAGGCCTGCTTGACACCCCAGAGTCCTTTACAGCGTGAGTACAAGCCACAGGGAACAGACCCATCTGTCTTTTGAAGGCCTGTTTGATGCCCTAGAGCCCTTCACAACGATGAATACAAGCCACAGGGAACAAATCCAAAGATCCCAACCTGGCCTGGAGTCACCTTGTTCTTCAGATGGATAAGCAGATACAGGGTCTGGACAGCTGCCTCCCATGAATTTGCTTTATGAAAGTCCATCCTGGAAAAAAAAAACACTAAAAAAACCCGGGGAACGTTTAAGAACCTAATTTTTGTACCCATAAAGGTGCAGTCTCTCTTTGGGGGGGGTCTATTTGGCTGGACAAATTCCCACAACCCCAAAGACTTCATCTCAGAGAAAATTCCACTCTGGATAATATCTGCATTGCATTGAGTTTGCTAGCTACTTCCCCACATGATTCTGCGGTGTCCTTCTGGGGATCCCAGTGGTACTTTTGTATTAAAATGTGTCTTGCTTCAAATCACAGCTTGCAGAGAGACTATGATCGCTTTAAGCCATAGAAAATTGCCAATTGCGGACTTGTTAGGTGAACCACATGAAAGACTCAACCAGCTACAACCAGAGACACAGCCCAGCCGGTATCAACCAGTACAATAGCCAGTCACGACCCCCACTGGTGTCAGAGAGGCTAAAAGTCTCACACAGGGTCACCCAAGGCCTCTCTGAAGATCAGTATCACCCACTCTACAGAGGCCTTGGCTAGGGCTGGGCACCACCTGCCCCTTCTTCTTCTGGCCTTGCTGTTCCTGGCCTGGGCCACCTTCATCTTCCATTTGTAACCTTCCATTTCAGTTTCCCAGAGCATCCTGGTCCCTCTGCTTCCCCACTTTCCGGATAAGGGTTGTCCACCAGCCCGAGGCCTGACTGTGGCCCCAGAGCCTTGCCTACAGGCCTGCTTTGGCCCAGTGCCCTCCGCACTCACTTCCTCTATGACGGAAGAGCTTGCCCATCTTTAAAATGGGATGAAGAGGAAGAAATACAAATAGACCCAATAAGCCTAGGCAGTTTGGATGCTCACCTTACTAGACCTGGATGGAGGTGGGTGGTCCTTGGACTTCCCACAGGGCAGGGAACCCTGATTGCTCTTTGGGCTGAGGGGGGACTTGATTGGGGGAGGGGGAGGGAAATGGGAGTCGGCGGTGGGGAAGAGACAGAAATCTTTAATAAATAAATAAATAAATAAACAATAAAAAAATTAATTTTTTTTAACAAATAGACCCAATAAGCTAACAAAGCAACATGTTAGCACCAGGGATCACTCACGGGGTACAGGAGACAGGAATTGTCTAAGGGATACTTCAGCGAGGGCCTGGCACATGTTTCCCTCTCAGCTTCCATCTACCCTTCCTTCGCAGCAGAGACCTCTGCCTAGCATTGCTGGCCTCCCTGCCTGCTAGGCTCCAGCAGCTGGGGCCAGGACCACACCCACACAGGAGGTCACATGTATTGGTCAGGGAGGCAGGGATGCAGTTGCTGTGGGCACTGTGTGACCTGGCTTCCTGTCTGGGATTCCCCATTGTCTGTCAGTTCTGAAAGCTTCCTTGGACAACAGAAGCCCAGTGGAGAGAGCATCCTATTTTGGGTGTTGGGCACAGGCACATTCTTAGGAGGAAGGGCAGCATGCCCTGCAGGGTAGGTGCATGGGTCCTTGTTGGTTCTATCTTCTATTATGTAACTCACTTCCTCTCTGCACGATGCCAGCCAGGATCTGTCAAGAACTGAGATCCCAGGTAGGCTCCAAGATCTCAAGGCTATTCTAGGAAACCTCTTCCATGAAATCTCTGCAACTTTGGGGGACCTCACTGCTGATCCCCAAAACTCAGAAGTATCAGATTAGGAACTGTGGGCTTGACAGGACTCCTGAAACACAGTTGGTCACAGACCACTCCCACCTGACTCCTGGAGCTCATGTCTCAAGACCACTGCACACATCCATACATAGACATTTGACTTGGGGATAGCCTGGTGCCCAGAGCCACATACTGTAGGACATGTGACCCATCTATATCACAAGATTGACTGGGGCCCTTTTGCTATGCCAGGCATACTAGAGATGGAACATTGCCAATCATGGGGCCTCTCTGAATCAAATCACAGTATCAACTCCCAGGCTGCGGATGAAAGAACACAGTTTACCTGGAAGAGCCTACACTCTGAATGGGGCCATGGCATCGCTCCGTGAGGTGGAATCTGTTTCTGCAGAGGGGCACAGGTTTCCTGTGTATGATCAGTCTGGGAAAACAGGGCCCAGCATGTCTGGCGGTTCAAACTTCATGGAGGCAAATATTAGGAAGAATAGTCTATGAAGTTTTCTTGCCAGGGATAGATATATGGTATATACATATGATATATGGTTTATATATGGTATATTAATGTCAAAATATATGGAACATTGATGAACTGTGAGTGACAGCCTGGTGACCCCCAGCTGCTGTGTTGCTACTATTTCCAGCAGCAAATGGTGGAAGGATGGCTAAGATCTTGGCCTTTAGGGTTGTGCAGATGAGGAGAGCTGAGGCTGTGGTCTGTGTATTTGATGAGCTCGGTGAGTGTGGGTCGTTACTGGTATTTATTACTAGAATAGTTACTTGCGGGCCCAGGGAGTCAAGAAGCAACGATTCCCTTATGCATGTTGTTCTGGGCCTGTCTGTCCCTGCAGAAAGATAGAGAGGTGATTTTAATGACAAAGAATAAAAACGTAAAGGTCTAATTTTGGGGCTCCCACGGATTTGCCTCACTATGCCAATAGGCCCAGTCGTGTGTGGCTCTTGCATGGTAAACTTGACTGCTTCAATTCGGGATGCTGACAGCCCTGCCATGCCCCGAGGATAGCATTCCACAGACAGGAGAGAGCTGGGAGTGGACACTGCCTCACAGCGTGCTCAGGAGTGCACACTGATTCTGTGATGACCTGGGGTGTGTGGAAGGACAGAAACACGTCCTGTGGTCAGCATCCTTGGAAGACAGTCTTGAAGGACCAGAAGACTTCTGTAGAAGGAGAAGGTAAGACCAGAGACTCAGCATTCCCCTCCCTGTCCTTACTGACTGTACACCGAACTCTAGTTGTGCGATGGGCGTCAGGCCGTACGGCCAAAGGCACACAGGTGGGACTGCCATGCTGACTGCCCGATCTTTGGCCAGGGGAACCCGGTAAAGCTTGTTTTTGAGTCTGGTGGGATTCCTCCAGCTGTTGTGAGCAGTTCCTAAATCACCAGGCAGCTTGTGCCTCTAGTGAAGTGCTAGAGATTGGGGAGGAGGACAGTGGGCATTTGTGACTGGCTGGGCACAGAAGCAGGTAGCATCTCTGTACTCATTAAACGTAATGACCCGTGCGGCGTACTTCTAATTGCTATGGCTAATTTTTACGGAAAGTCCCCTCCTGGGCCCGGCCAGCTCTGTCTAGGTGGCACCACCCTCTGCCTATGTTAACACCAGGACACCACCTCGGGGATATTCGCTTGCCCACTGTGGAGAAAGCAGCTCTGTGTGTTCCTTCATCCCACGACTGGCCGTTTTCACTTGATGGACGTCTGGTATCCTTACAAAAAACCAGTTCAGTGTGGCAAATGTGTCATTGAAGGCCTCACTCTTTCATCTGGTCCCATCAAGATTCGATTTGGGTAGTATATGTCACCCCATCCATGTCCCCGCCTGGACTCCAGCCATGGACAAAAGTCTTCTCTGTCCCCCCCTACTTGCCACTAATGGCTTGGACATTTTCTGGTTGGCTGGCATACCTTCTCCAGTGACAGCTACTCCGTACCTTGGGTTTGTTTATTTTGTACGGGGCAGGGGTGGGGGTGGGGTGTGCGGAGGCTTTTCTTTTTCATGTTTCATTAAACTACAACTGCTGTGTTTTGAAAAGTGGTACCTCGAACAAGTCAGTGAAGCAAACAGCTCTGCCTATTGGGATGTACGAAAATGAAGGCCGCCATAGGGAGCCTCTAGCCGCGGAGCTGAAGGCCTGGTAGGCGGTGGGACTAAGGTGGCACGACTCACTAATTGTATTTCGGGATCTGTCTGGCCCCAGCATGTGGCCAGGAGCTGGAGATGAGGCCTGGCTGGTGTTCCCAAGTTGAGACATGTCTTCCCCGGCCAGGGCCGCTGGAGGTGGGGAGGACAGAACAATGAGCTCTCCGCGGGCAGCGTGAGAGTATCCACCCTGGCTTTCAGATATGCTCTCCAGAGTTTGGGCCCTCTGAGCATCGGAGAGAATTTTAAATGGGGTACAAGTCCACCTGTCCAGCTCAGGTTGTCTCTGAAAGAGATGCACATAGGGAAATATGGCAAGGGGCTCCCACTCCTGAGCAGGAGATGAATTCCAGGGCAGAGTCCCAGGCCAATGCAGGCCAAGGCAGAGGCAGCCTCAAAAATAACTTCCCCAATCTCTGGTGTCCAGACCGGCTCAAACTGCCCCATTTTTCCCTTGGAGGCAAAGCAGCTGCGGTCCATGGCTAAAAATTGTGTTCACACTCAGAGACCAAGAGTACATGTGATTAGCTGTGTTAGTCAGAGCCTCCTGGCCTCCTGGTCTCCTGGCCTCCCAGCCTCTTGGCTCTGAGGCTTCTAGGAGTCTCAGCCTCTCTGCCTTCTGCTTCCCAGCCCCATCTTCCTGCAGCTCTCTGTTCACCTCATCCCAAACAGTGATCCATCCCCCATAGCCAGAACACACAAACCTATCTTACTCCGGGGGTCAGACCCCTGGCAGGTGGCCAGACGCAGTCTTATATTGCAAAGCAGGGCTGCCTTGGTGTCCTTCCCCCTCATTAACTGGCCAAACTACAGGGAAAAAAAACAAAACTTTAATCACCCAATGTTCATTTCCCCCCAATGTTTACCAGCTACCCCTGAGTTGCTGCACTGGGCCCCCTAATGCACCACAGGGAGCCAATCCCAGCACCACCCCCGGGGGAGGACCAAAAAGGAAAGGAAGCACACACAATTAAAGGTGTGCACACGTAAACATATAATTACAGATGTGAGCTGAGCCGTGAAGGGAAGAGGGTGGTGCGGTGAGCAGAGATGTTGACGACTTGCTCTGCTGGCCGAGGCACTTTGGAAGAGGCTAGATTTTCTCTGAGACTCAAGATGCGTCGTTGTAATCGTCTTTTCCTTTCCTTTCCATTTTTTTTAAAGCTATTTGTCTAGACTGGCTTTGAACTCCAGCTCCCTCCCTCCCGCCCCCGCCTCATCTCACTCTGCAGAGCCCCTGCCTTACAGGTGCCAGTTCACCATGCCAGCTCATAATGCCAGCTCCTAGTCCACGGTTTCAACACCGTTCCGGGAAGGACAGCAAGCTCTGTATACAGCTGACCTTTATAAGGACCGACAGGGACTCTGGCAGGGTCTGGGTGTGTACTGCAGCCCTTCCCACTGTGCAGAAAAGGTGGCTGAGACTTGGGGAGGCTCAGTGACTTCCATGACCTGCTGGCTGGACAGAAGGCCAGAAATAGCGGTGACAGTCCCAGCTGGTGGCATGAAGGCCCAAGATGCTCCTGAGTTCCTCGGTGGTTATGGGTTTTTTTTTTTTTGGTTGTTTTTTTTTTCTCCCTTTCCAGCTTCCAGAATGAGGCCCCAGTGAGGCCCTAGATCCCCAATTCAATGATGTCATCCAAGAACCATCTAGCAGGCAGTGGCCAGGCAGGGCTGGCTACACCAGCATCCTTCCAGCTTTGTTTCAAAGCAGAGATACTTGCAAGGACTGCTGAGGACAGCTGTCCTCTCAGGCCACCTTATGAAACTGGAGGAGCCCTGTGGCCTCTGGACAGGTGCTCTTTTGCCAGAGGCCAGTAAAACCCATAAACAAACAAAGGAGAGGAGCTCGGCTCTCAGCTCAGAGAGCCCGGCTCCTGCCTGGACCCCCAACAAACACTGTTCCCAAGCTGCACAGTGCACACGAGTCCCTGCCTGGCCCACGCGAGCCCCCCAGGGGCAAGTCAGGCACAGGTATAATATGCACTTGGTAGAGATTCGATAAGAGCAGGGGGCTGGGCGAGAGCTCCGCTGCCAGCTGCTGCTGCATCTGGAGCCCCCATCTCTGGGGCTCTCAGCGGAGAAGTACGTTGGGCTTGGGGGTCTGCTCATTGGATGTTTCCTCTCCTCCACTCCCCACTCAAAAGACAGAACAGATTGGAGGAGGCAGGCTAATAGCATCTCGGTGACAGCCCAATTTTCATTTCTCATGGAAGGGCCTCCCATTAGCGCTGAATCCCAGCTCCCTCCTTCTCAGAGCCCTTCTCTCAGCTCTTCTCCACACTGCCCTTTCCACTTGAAGAAATGCAGGCAGACCAAGACCACCCCTGCCTAACTACCCACGCGGTCTGCTAATCACCCTGCCTGGGAAGGTTTCCCAAGAAAAGGCACAGGGAGGCGAGGCCACTGGTGACCCAGGAGCACAGGAGCTTGCTACCTACCTATCTGGAGCCCTGTCTGCAGCTCCAGCTGGTCCTGGGGTCCAGCTGGATTTGCCCAGGGCTTGAGAAGCAATACCTCTGCTTCCCTGCAGTGATCTGGACAGCGGGGTCAGTATTAGGGTACGGTTGGCGGTAGCGTTGACGAGGTTGGGTTATATCAGAGTTAAGTTGGGTTGGTTTAGGTAGGATTTTGTGTTATTCAGCTCTCCTTTGCTGTTGTAAAATACCCAAGGAAAACAATTTAAAAGAGAAAGAAGATTTGGCTCACGGTTTCTAACGTGACTGACGCCATTCTTTTTAGGCCTCACGGTAGAAGGAAGGTGGCAGCGTAAAACTGATCACCTCAAAGTAGCCAGGAACAGAGGAATGGGGACCTGATGGACTCGTCAAGGACACATCTGTTGACTTACATCTTCAAGTTAAGCCTTGTCTCCTGAGACATTCAGCCAAGGACCCGCGCATGGGCTAATCTGTTGATGAAGCTGGGGTCCTCATTTTGTAACCTACTGGAGGTTCCTGGAGAGTTGTTGATTAACCATTGCCCTTCAGAATGAGCTTGACTTCACAGGCTCATGGCCATGGCCAGTCACGGCAGGGCCTTTAAAGTGGGAGATCATTAGGGGAGAGAGCATAGCCACAGACAGTCACATGCAACTGTAAGGTGACACCTAGGTCCCTCAGTTCCCCCAGGACATCAGAACAAAGGGCGTTTCTCCGTCTTATATGGCCCTCTGTCAGGGAGTGGAAATAAGTCCATACCACATGACCAGCCCAGATTTCCAAACTCCCAAACTCCATCTGTATCAGGTACGCTGAAGGTTTAAGGAGCCACAGTAATGTCCACTCAAGGCAGGGACCTCACTCCTGGTACCAACTTTCTCTATTAGTTCTCTCATTCGTGACAAGATGCCCGACCAACACAACGTAAGGACAGTAAGGATTTGTTTTGCTTCTATTTTCTGAATGTTTGATCTAACACGAGGTCATTCTGTGCTTCGGGTCCATTGTGAAATAAACCTCATGGCAATGGGAATGCTAAGAGAAACAAGGTGTTCACCCCACAGCAGCAGGAAGCAGAGAGAGCAGCTCACACAGGAAGCAGAGCCGAGCCATAACCGGGAGGGGCCACGGCAAGACAGTGACAGGATGGACACACTTCCAGCGACCTATGTCCTCAGATCAGGCCTCCATTCCAGTTTCCCCATCTCCCATCAGTCTATTGACATTTTAGCTCCATCAGTGAATTAAACTATTCGCTGGAGCTGAGTTCCTATGACCTAATCCTGGAATCATCCTGAAGACCCACCCAGGCGTGTGTTTTATTAGATTCTGGACCCTTTTCAGTCCAACAAAGGTGACAACCAAAATTAACTGTCAAATAATCCAGCCACCTCTCAGGACTCCACTTCTGAATATCAGAGCATCAAGCCACACGCGAGTCTTCACTTTCCAATCTAAATATGATTGATAGATTAAGTTGGGATCTAATGCTCTTGAAGACTGCACCAGAGATGTAGCCAAACGCTGGGTGGTTGTGCTGTGTTGCGCTGGGAATTCGAGTTTGCAGCTGGGCTCTGGTCAAGGCTGACATGACTTCAGGGTTTAGATGGAGTTGAGTTGGGGACAGCTCTGAGGCAGACCTTCCCCTCTCTTCTTGCTGGGACTGGAAGGGAAGCTTTATTGGATACCAACAGTTCATGGAGTGGTATTTAGAACAAGACCAGAGGACATTTTAACCTAGAAAAGCATGAATTCAAGAGAATTTTCCAATGAGAAATTAAAAATATGTCCCCTCCACGGTGTGCCTGGAGAGCTGTGTATGAAGGCATTTCTGGGACAAGTTGCCATTCCTGTCAGACTCGGAGACTGCTTTGGCTGTGTGGAGACTGAGGCAAGGGCATTGTGGAGAGAGAGACGGGAGGGGGAGGAGAGAAAGAGAGAGCGCGAGAGAGAGAGCCTGAGAGTGCAATCAAGTACAATGTGTGTGTATGTGTGTGTGTGTACGTGAAAGTATGCAGTGTGTGTACAGTATGTGTGTGTGCATGGACGTGCACAGGAAGAAGAGTATGCTTACGTGCATGTGTGATTATGCCATGCAATGTGAGTGAGTGAAAATGCATACAAAGACGGTGTGCTCGTGTGCAGATGTGTGCATGAGAGCATACAGTGAGCGCACAGGGTGGGCTTGTGCAGGAGTGTGTGTGTATAGGGAGCAGCCTGCCTATGTGCATGTGAGTGTGTATGTGAGAGTAGACAGTACTGCAGTACGTGCACATGGTGTGCCAGTGTGTGTGCACATAGATAAATGTATGTAGCGAGTGTGTGGAGTGCTCAGGCTTGAGCAAATGAGCCCACAGTGTTCTCAAGCCTGCTTTCCACTCTCCCTATTCCTCTGCCGCTGGAAAGCCTCATTAGTGTGCAGAGAACGTTCAAGCCCAGCCGGGATGAGTCACCGTGGCTGAGCTTCTGAGTTGCAGACATGAGGGCCCTGCTGCTGGGTACAGCTTACCCGCTGGCCTCTGTTTTGGGCCAGCTTGCCCACGCCATCCACACCCTCCCTGGGGCTGGGTCATGTCAGCTAGCTGCTCTGGGGAGGGGGGATGGGAAAGAGACTGACTCCTGAAGTGGTGGTTGTTTTTCTCTTCCAAACAGCAGCAGTCAGGAGGGCAGACACTGGTCCCAAGGTTGTCCTACTCAGGAGCTAGCAGGCAGAGAGAGGCACCACTTGGGGTGTCTTGGGAGACATGGGGACCACCTGAGATGAGTGCATCTGTGAATCGGCATGAACAGCACAGGGCTTCATATGTGGTGGAAACTGGGTAGTCCTGAATGGGGCCAGGAGAACGGTCAGGCAGAGAAGCCCAGGGTTTCGAGAATGAGTGACTAGCTACCCCAGGAGGTGGTTTAGGTAGAGCCACTGCAAAGATTCCTGACCTGGGCAGGGATTGGCTGAAGAGAACAAGGAAGAGGTTGGGAAGCTGCAATGTTGGGGCTCTGACTGTGGGACGGAGGCTCATGGGGAAGTGGGAGGCAGGAGAG